AGCTGTCGGAGAGCCCTGCCTCCCTCCCCTCCTTCCCTCCCGCCGAGACGGCCGTCATCAACCAGCGGGACCTGACGGATGCCCTCATCGACACGGAGCGCGGCCTCCGGGACTTGGATTCCCAGCAAGGTACTGGGAGGGGGCAAGGAGGGACTGGGCACAGGGGACCCGAAAGTCCCTTCTCACCCTGGTCCCCACCTCCAGGCAAGGAGGGGCTGCGCCAGGCATCGCCCGTCTCCGTGTACCTGTTCCCAGGGGAGAACGGCCGCCCCCCTGCCCCCGGCCCGGCTCCTGGGACCCCTCTGGATGAGGGGCCGGAGCCAGGGTCCCCCACGGGCAGCAGGGTGGAAGGGGAGGCTGTCGATGCTGATGACTTCTGCATCCTGGATGCCCCTGGCCTGGGTATCCCGGTAAGTGGGGGGCGGGGAGGGGTCAGCAGAGATGGGATCTGGGAGCAAGGAGGCGCATGGGGGTGGGATCTGGGGGCAGTTTTGGGGGAGTGGAAGAGAGGAGTGGGATGCACTGGGCTGGAGACCCGGACGCCTGGCTTCCTTGGGACCATCGTCTGGCACCTCTACGGCGGGCGGGACTTTGGCAGTGGGCGTGGCCCCCCTGGACATGCCCATTCCCCCAGGTGAGAGCCCCGCCCCCTGCTAGCCAGCTCCTGGGGGCGGGGCTTAAATATGGAATTCCCTGGCCAAGGGTAGGGGGCAGGGCTAGATAAGGGGTGTGGCCAGACATGGGGGGCAGGGTTGTGAGGTTGCCAATCACTTACAGGACAGGGGGTGGAGCTAAGTGAGGGGTGTGGGCAGAAGCGGGTGGGACCTAGCAGCTGCCATTCACCTGCTAGACAAGGTGGGGCCAGGCAAAGGAAGTGGGGCTTGGGCTCAGTGCTAGGGAATGGGATTAGGAGCTGGGTTTATTGTGAGTGTCTGGAATGAGGTTTAAAATGTTAGGTTTAGGATTAGTCCTGGGATTAGAGTAGGGGCTGGGATAGCGGTTAGATTAGGATTAGCCGGAGGGCATGGGGTTCGCATTAGGTGGTGCAACTAGGACAGTTAGGGGTCGGGATTAATGATATGGATTGGGATTAAGGTGAGAGATTAGGATTAGTTAGGGGTGGGATTAGGGCTACAGGTTGGGAATAAAGCTTGGGTTTGGATTAGGGTTGCTGTTTGCTTACAGCGCTCCCTGCCCCAGAATAAGGGGTGGGGCTAGAGAAGGGGTGTGGCTATGGGGAAGTAGGTGGAGTTTAGGGGCCCCTTCTCTCAGGTTACGGGGTGGTTGCCAAAGCAGGGGGTGGAGCACGGCTGGGGAAAGGGGCAGGGCTTTGTAGGGGCTGATGGGAAGGGGGTGGGGCCTGGGGCTGGCTGACCCCTGCCCCCCCCTTGCCCGCAGGATGAAGCCCGGCTTGGGCCGGACCCCCGG